TTGTATCTAGAGCAATGACCTCTTGTCTATATACTGTCGAATATGTACTTCGGTTTCAAACTCAAGGATTTTTTGGATGAGAGATGATTTGCGTGCGTTTGTTGGTGATGCTGGACATCAGAAAAATTTGGAGTAGCATAGCGTTTTGATAGTGAACTGGCAACTGAATCCAATTACGGAGTAGTGCACATCGTTGATGTTATCGATGTAATCATATAAGAGTATGCGGCCTTGTGATGCCTTTTTAGCAGTCTTTATTTGTGGCATTTTTAGTGGTCTCAGATATTCTGGTTACAACATAGATGTCTTTGAGATATTTTGTCCCCCTTGTCAGTTGTATAGGTAGACAGCAGAAAAAGGCGGAAACAAAAGCATACTTTGTGCAAGACACTTTTCTATGTATAACGTTTGATGAAGTCCAAGGTGTTGTCCCAAAGTGTATGCATGCTGTATTGTCGATGATTCCATCCTGCGGAGCGATAACCACAAGGGCCTGGTGTGCTCAACGAAAGGTCAGCTTGAGGTCGAAAAGATCAAAGAGGCAGCCAATATCATCAGCCCTACAGCACTACGTCACATGGCCTACGAACAAGTACCCCATGCAAGAATCAGACGGCATTCGTTGTTGGTTCATGGTCGCATGACAGACGTGACATGAGGACCGAGCAAACTAAGCTAGCTGATCCATGTGGAGGGCGAGAAAACGAATCATACATCTACTCGCCAGATCAAAGCAGAACTTTGATCATGGACAAACCAAGAAGTGTGCCAAACGTCTTCAATTCCCCTAAAATCCAGGAAGCAACAATAGTTTCGGAATCGCAGCGGTATCCGATCGAGTCTACCTCGGCCACATTGTGACGCGGAGGCACACCGAGCACCCAGTCTCCATGAATGTCCGTGTCCGTTTGAATTCTTTTGCTAATTTTCTTTTTTTTCTTCCCCGGGTTCTAGGTCGTAGTGGGGGTCGTGGAGTATCGAGTACAATAGAGAATCGTCGAGGGAGCCGCCATGCGGCAGTGGTAAAAGAGGTTGAGGAATAGAGAAAAAAGGAAACGAGTTTTAAAATTCGATATGGAGATAAGACGCTTAGTCGAAGAGACCGAAGCCCATGTCCTCATCGGACTCCTCCTTATCTGTAGTGGGGATTAGCACCGTGACTCACAAACTGGAGATGTATATCAAGACTTACCCTCCTCCTTCTCCTCAGCCTTGGCCTCAGCGGGGGCAGCACCACCAGCGGCGGCACCAGCGGCGGGGGCAGCGGCAGCGGGGCCAGCGGAACCGACGTTGGTCAGGAGATCCTTGATGTCCTTACCCTCGAGGGCCTGTGTTGAGAATCGAATTAGTTATCGAGTCTTTAAATTGTCGCGCGCGGCCATGTTCGGGTTGTTTCGATATTGGCGCGTGTTGTGGAATGGGGTCAGGTATTTACCCGGGCGAAGATGGAGGCCCAGATGGGCTCAACCTCCTGGACCTTGGCGGCAGTGATGAGGGTCTGGATCTTGTCGGCCTATATGAAGATTAAAGGTCAGTTACAGTTTTCGCATAATGGTTGTTTGATCCCAGTGGCTTTGCAGCTGCTTGTTGCGATTCTTCCCAAGCTCAATTTCACACAGTAAAGAAAGCTCTAAGTGCGATCTTCAAGCCTCCACTATTCCACCAACATCAAGGAATTTTGGATACGTACGGAGACCTCAATACCGTCATCGGCCAGGATGAGGGCGGCGTAAGAGCAGGCGAGCTCGGCGGTAGACATGTCGACGGGTGGTGTTGACCGGACTGGGTGTCTTGAAGAGAGTTGGGGATGGGAAAGAAGAAGAGAGGAGAACGCCAATGATAGACACCCGAACAGGGCAAACGCGCCGTGTGTGGGAAAAAGCCCTCGCTTAGGGCTCGGACTAATTTGGTTTAGCGTCTCCCCCTCCTCGTGACTTGGCACTAAGCCATAAACGGAGCTGGACCCAGATGACATAATTTTAGATGACATAATCCCCCAGTAAACGGCGGGTTCTCACTGCGCGGGGCCTGGTATCTGCATGATCTCCCTATCAATCGATCATTAATTGACATCACATCCCGGTGGGGTTCAAACGTACGATCGATTCTTGTCTTTACTCCTTACTTTTGAAGAAACCTATTCCCTTTATTCAACCCGTCCCCAAGGAAAAAGCAATTTGCATACTTATCGCATTCTCCAACCATGGAGTCCCCCGCTATCACCGTCCCGCTGGATCCGCGGGAGCAGCCCATCCTTGAAAGCCTGCTCCGAACCCGCGACGCGCTGCTCCTAATCAAACAGGACAAATCCTCATACATAAAGTCCCGTGATGTCCTACCGCTTTACGAGGAAGTGATCGGAGAAGTTGAGAAGCTCAATTCGGTTCGCAAAGAGCAAGATCGCCGCTTGGTGCACAATCGCCGTGAGTTTAGTAGATCACGCGCTCGACTTGGAGATGACTGACGCTCGATGATAGTGGATTATATCTTGGATGATTGTTTCCAGTTGATTTCCCTGCTGTTTTTGACAGTTGGGAGGAACAACGAAGCTCCAGCAGTGTGAGTGACTATATACCCTTACCCCGCGATATGACCGTCACTGACATCTTTTCAGGTACTCCTTGGCGACTACTATCCAGGTATCTACTCCTAGGATTTTTTTTGGCTCTTATTGTTAGCTATGCGCTCTGGACACTGACAGTTTTGCAGCGCTTACTCGACCACCTTGAGGAGGCTGGATTCTATAGCTCGAAGGATTTGAACTCGATCACCAAGACACTAGAGTCTACACGGGAAACCCTTGAGCGCGGCCGAAACTCATACTCACCGGCTCTGCTCACGCTCTTGGAAAACCGCCTGGAACATTGTGAACAATCACTGGCGAAGTTGCAGAAGGGTCTTGCTGTATTGGCTCCTCCTTTGGCACAGACACATGAGACACTGGTTTCAATTTTGCGGTCAACATCAGCTGTGAATACTCGGTCAAAAGTATGCCATCCAGTATTTGTATAATTTATTTGATCGGTACTAACTGATGCTTGATTTGTTAGTTCTCGGCCTCGGAAGTAAACGCTCTTCGAGAACAACTGAAGAAAATTGAAAAAACATCAAAGGACGGCAACTTTGTGGATGATGAGGGAAATGTTCTTGCAGGACAGGACGACCTCAAATCTTTGATCCACAGGTGTTGGCGTTGGACTGAAATTGTGCTCGAGCGGTATGTTCTAGGCTGCTAACGGGATAATCGGACACCTACTGATTCAAATACAGAGAGGGTAAAATTGATGAGCGGTTCCGAGATCAATACGAACGATTGTTGGACATCCGCAACCAACTGGATCGTTTGTCTGTAACACAAGCTTGGTCGCTGCGCGAAACCGATCTCTTCGGATACCAGCGAAAGCTCGACCGAATTGATGAGGGACGTGTTAATGGAAATTTTGTCGACGCTGAAGGTCAGCCAGCGGACCTGCATGCGCAGAGAGTAAGTTTTTTTTTTTTTTTCGGGCATTCTTTAATGGATTTGGCTAATATATTCTTAGACGCTCTTATACCTCATTCGCCGCAGTTATGCGTACATTTATGCGCTTTTGATTTCATCAGAACCTGTATCTGAGGCCCTACTTCCAGTCTATAACCAACTTCAAACTCTCCGCCGGTGCTTGATTGAAGTCAAGGAGTCGGGAGGCGTTGCAAATTCGCGCGAACTTTATCCATACAGCATGAAGGTATGTCACCATCCACACCCCTTGCGTATATGAGCTAACTGAAACAGCTCAACTCGATTGACAACATGCGGGTTGATGGGAAATTCTACGTGGGTCCAGATATCCCGGAGGGCCAGGGCAGTGTCAATAACCTGCTAGCCGAATGCTACGATTTGGTTTGGGAACTCCGTGCTGCAGTCGTCGACGAGGAAGAAGAGTCTTAAGACAAGAGGTGTTATAGACCAATCCTTTTTTTTTTCTCTACCTATGTGTTTTATTTCCACTGATGTTTGTGAATTTGCGCCGATGTTGATGAAGAATTGGCCATGGAAATGTCTTTGGCATACAGTGGTCTTTGATTGTATGATCTGACTCTTATTCTTGTTTTCTGTTCTGTTTATGTGACGATAGGCGTTTGAGATGGGACATTTTATTGGCTTTTGTATTGGGAAGGGCACTTTGGTGTCTGGTGGTTTTACTTTGAGTTTAATGGAATTTCCCCGTTCACGAAAGATGGAAGTAGACGGCCGTCTTGTGAAGTCTTTCTAGTATTCTTCCTAGTGGTCGTTTTCGTAGTCTTTGTTTGTGGCCTTTTTGGCGGTCTCAGATATCCTGTTTACAACATAGATGTCTGTAAGATATTTCCTCCCCTTTCTCAGTTGTATAGGTAGAGAGTAGAAAAAGGCGGAAACAAAAGCATACTTTGTGCAAGCGACTTTTCTGTGTATAACCTTCGAGATATCTACAAAGCGAAGAGTAAGCAATGAATACCCAAGGAATATCACACACATATCAAGCACCGAGTCGGCGAGTTGCTTGAGAAGCCCATTGGCAACATCCATGGATTACTCCATTCATCACCCGTGGACACGACTCAAGCTGACCAAGCAATATTTCCAGCATAAGCAAAACCCTTCTAGTTGAACATTCATTTCATCCCGTTCAAATAGAAGATATATCCCTTGAGCAGTCGCAGAGAGTTGTGCTGAAGTGAACTTCATTCACGTCTTTCATCTCCAGATCTTGACCGTCAATCTCGTGAGCCTCGAGGCAGCAACTGCATGCTGTAGTACAGTGGCCTCGATCACGGACGCCGTCTTTATTTCCATGAGTCATTCGAGGACTCTCGCAACATCCACATTTGCGTTCACAACAGCCTCCTCGGTTTGCACAGTCTTCACGAAGCACATCCGAGAGATACCAATCTGGGTGTTTTCTCTGTCTTGTCAGTGCCCGTCTTGCCGAATTGCTCCACACATTATCTGCCTTGATCCAATATTCCCTATGCCTATCCTAGTATATTGAGTTGGGGGATTTGGTTTTATTTTCCTCGTCCTTGAGCCGACACCTATCCGAGTTGTCTATAGATCTTTTCTGATATGTCTGAATCTGTAGGGCTTTGAATTTTTGCTTAAGCCATATTCTGCGCTGGACAATCACTCGTAGGGTTATATCCAGCTTAATGAGTTCATTACACCAGCCACGGTCCGGTGCGTTGAGTAAATGGTCACGGTAGGCTACTATCTGAGCAAGCTCGTCGCATTTTGCATTCTCAAGCCGAGTCTCAAGGCTTGGAGTCCTAGTTGTATTGTTCCCACCCCCCAAAAAGACTACATCAGGGGCCTCCTCTATGAGCTTTTGCTTTTCATCGATGGTCAACTTGTCCGACAAAAGTGGCTCTAGCAGGTCCTCCGGTGTCTTGGTGTGTTCCACTAGCTTTGTGTAAATTTCCATCGCATTCTGCGTACTCTCTTCGTAAGTTGGTGGTGATTGTCGGGATTGCATTTTGATTGGAAACTGGCCCTGTATCGGACTTTGTAGAGTTGGAAAGCTATTGGTGTTGATGTTGCCTATAGAAGAAGATTGAATGGTCAAGTTGCAAAGAAGTTAAGAATGTCACATTATTGCATAATAAAAGCTAAGTTTAAACTATTGTCGGCCTAGTTTTGGGTTTCAGGGCTCTTAACCTATCTGGACATATAAATTCCCTTCGGATGAAGAACCATCTAGAAACTACACGGTTATATTTAGGGAATGCATTCGTGTCCTAAGCTAACCTTGGAATCAAGCGATGATCTCTCACGTCAAAAACAATTTATGCCCGAGGCCAAGCAAAAATTCCTTCTTATGGCTACTGGCGAAGGGGAGGAAGTGTTATCCAATCTAGCAAAAAGCAGGGTATTTATACCCTGATGTCTGAAAAACAATCGGCTCAGTCTGCAAGCAAAATAGAAGATAGGATCATCCAACACCTCTCCTATTGGCCTCTGTGTTCATTTGAAATAAAAAACATAACCTTTCAGTAGACGTAAGGTGTGGGTGTCTACCCATTGAGTGGCGGTAGTATCAAACCGAAGATCTTGCAGGTCTGTGATCTCCTCTCCAATATAATTACCATCGAGACCATGGGCTTTTAGACAACAGGAGCATGCTGAAGTACAGTGGCCTCGGTTATGCATTCCTTCTGTTTTAAGCCCATCGATCGTTCGTGGTCTCTCGCAACATCCGCAGGTCCGCCCACAGCAACCCCCTCGCCTCACGCAGTCTTCGCGTAGCTCCGCTGAGAGATACCAGTAGATGTGCGCTCTTTGCCTTGCGAGTCCTCGTGCTGCCGACCTACTCTGTATGTGGTCTATTGCGACCCATAGCTTCCCATGGGCTCTCCAATACTTCGGGCTCAGCGCTTTGAGGGCTTCTTCGAAGGCCGCCTTCCTGTAGGCGACGACTTGTAGCTGGTGATGAATCCAGATCATTCGTTGGACAATCCAGCGTATCTCAATATCAGCTTCAATCAGTGCTTTGCACCAGCTTCTGTCCGCTGAGGTACATGCGATGTGATAATAATAGCACACCGACTGAGCAAGCTTATGTGAGCCCTGAAGCCAAAGTGCGTCTTCAAGTGATACAGTGTCCTTCTCTTCGGTAATGGCTGGGATATTGACTGCGTTTTCCATGGCTTTGCATTTGTCGTCGAGGCTGAGTCCGACGTCTGCCAAGAGGATATATTGCAAGCTCCTCCAATTTGACGCACGTTTAATTCTACTGATAAAATCTGCCATCATGGCTTTAGAGCCTTGTGTGGTTTCTTCATAAGTTGGGGGGATTTCGGGCTGCATTTTGCTCAGTTGAGAGTATGTAGCCGTGTTCGCTTCTTGAGATATATATTTGAGAATTGAACAAAGATGAAGCCGAGGAAGGAATTCAAATGTCAACACATCATCTTGTAATAGCTCCGTATCTGAAAAGGTTGTCGGGCAATAAGTTCAATGGTCGACGAAAGACTACCGTTTTGGGTTGCGGCTCTCCTGGGGGCACAGTACTTCCGACTGCCGGGCTAACTAACTTATTGGGATGTATCAATGTTCTTGACTCAATTATATCAAGTCCTATCCGGCTATTTATGTATGGCCTACTTGCCATATTCTTCTTCCGATCTCAAAGTCCTCACTCCAAGACGTGAAGAGCAAGAATATAGTGGTATTTCCTCTTGATATCTCGTTTGAAGCACGTCAGTTGAACGATACTTGCGCTCATAGAAGACTTGTGCTATAGCTTGCTTCAACCTCTCAAGTAAGCCACTCGTGGGCACTCTGAAGGGCATTGCAAATTATCTAGAGGAAGAAAACGGCCAGAGCAGGCTAACTTTACCTATAATTGCTCGATTGAGAATTATCATTAAGCTTGATAGACAGCGACAATTAACCAAGCAATATCTAGAGTCCAATTATAATTAACATAACAGCAATAAACAGTAACAGACAAGCAATAGATGCTTCATATAGCTTTGAATGGTGACAATCACGGGGTTTGAAATCATTAACCCGTACAGCAAAATATCAAGGTCATCCAGCAGAAGGCTCTGTCTGTAATTTCGGGTAGCAGAAATCGAAGGTATAACCCTTCAGCAGCCGTTGGTCATGACCAGTCATATAAGCGGGCGCTTTGTACTCAAAATGAAGCTCTTTCAAGTCTGGTATCTCCTCATTTATCCCGACATCCATATCTTCAACCCTATGGGCCTCCAAGCAACAGCCACATGCTGTAGTACAACGACCACGGGCGTTAATAGAATTTTCGGATCCATCGACCGTCCGCGGTCTTTGACAGCAGCCGCAGCCCCGTCCGCAACAGCCGCCTCGTCCTACGCAATCATCGCACAGCAACTTGGAGAGATACCAGTCTGGATCTTTTCTTTGCCTGTCATATGCTCGCTTGAACGACCAGCTCTTCATGGACTCCTTTTTGATCCACTGCTTTCTGCAAAGAGCCCAATGCCTCCGGTTGAGATCTGTGAGCTGGTCTTTGTAAATCTTGAGTTGTGACGCATGTTTGGCTTCATCTTCAGAAGACAGAAGTAGCTCTGACGAGTTTTGCATGACTTGAACTTTTTCTTGAATGCAGCCCTTACGTTGAGAAATCCAACGCCGCTCAATATCAATTTCAATCGGTTCCTTGATCCAGATCTCTCGCCCACCTGGCTGCACCCCGTACCAAAAGAAACACCAGTATATGACTATGGCAATCTTATCATGGCCTGCGTTCACAAGCTGAGCTTCAACCTTCTCGACGTTTTCCCGGTCAGGATCGACATACATACTCCACGGGGCGTGTCGAGGGAGAGTTTCTTTGTCTTTAAAAGTCAATTCGGTTGAAAGCAGGTGGACAAGAAGTTCTTCAGGCGTGTGGGCTTTTTGTATCTCTTTTTTCAATTTGTTCAACATTTTTCCCGTAGAAGAATTCGTGGTCTCGTAAGTCGGAAGTTTCTCGGAGGCTTGCTTCTCGCTTGCCTGAGTCTCGGTGACTGTGCCCTTGGCCATACTGCTCTCGGCGACTTTGCCCTAGACTGTATCCTTCTTGGTAGACTTGAAAGATCGGAACATCTTGAACTTGGTACTCATCAAAAGCAATAGGAAACCGAACAAAATCAAAATTAGGAGAAGCGAGGGCATCATAGAGACGAAGTTTTGAATAGGGTACATTCCATCCGATATTATGTCGAAATAAGCTTTTAAGCCCAAATAGGTGTCGGCCAAAAGATAATAGATAACCGTTCTCTTTTAAGGAAGACACAATACAGACATATATGTAATGGGAATCTGTGATGTTAATGTAAAAGTTCGGCGACGACATACATAGCTACACTATCGACTATTAATCTATAGCACAGTAGCAACTTTGTCCGGTTATTGTTCCTAAACATCTCATACGGCCTCTACGGAGTAGCTTGGATTTAGTTAGGAGAGGACTAAGAAAAAGAAAACTTCTGTTGAAATTTAGTGATATCGAAGCAGTCATTATCTATATAGTCAGAAAAAATGGAATCTGTAGGTCTGGCCTTAGCTATGGAAATATGAGTACTCATTATCTTCCAGGACCGCTGATTCCCATCGTGAATTTCAACTCCTTAATATAGACTGACATATATAGAGAATTATCAAATTGTCAAGTCCGTTGTATACAAGCCTATTTCCCCACATAATAGGGACCGGGATTCCGAAATCGGCGCCTTCACCGACCAATCAGAGCGAATGCAAATAACGTATAACCGGAGGAAAAAAAGGAACATCTTGTCATCCCCCAGTTTCTCCCCCCAAACTTGACAGTAAACATGGTGAGCCAACTTGTTTGGCAGCGGGTCTCTGCCTCTCGTGGGGTAAGTAAACATTGAAGACAACTCAATTGGACAAACTAACATCTTATATAGATGGCCACACGCCTCTCCCCACAACGGCTCTTCGCCCGTGGCCTAGCCACTGAGGCCTCCTCCTCCCGCATGCCCCCATACCCCAAGCTCGTCCGTAACCTCGAGCAGGTCCGCCGAGTCCTTGGATCTGACCGCGCCCTCACCCTTGCCGAGAAGATCCTCTACGCTCATCTGGACAATGTCGAAGAGTCATTGCTCACCGGGACCAACAATGGCCGCGACATTCGAGGCAAGGCCAACCTGAAGCTGAAGCCCGACCGCGTTGCCATGCAGGATGCCTCGGCCCAGATGGCTCTGCTCCAATTCATGTCCTGCGGTCTTCCCTCCACCGCCGTCCCAGCCAGTATTCACTGCGACCACATGATCGTCGGTGAGCGCGGTGCCGATACCGATTTGCCAGCTTCGATCAAGGGTAATAGCGAGGTGTTCGACTTCTTGGAGAGTGCCGCTAAGCGCTACGGTATTGAGTTCTGGCCCCCTGGTGCTGGTATTATCCACCAGAGCGTGTTGGAGAACTACGCCGCCCCTGGATTGATGATGCTCGGTACCGACAGCCACACTCCTAACGGAGGTGGTCTTGGTGCTATTGCCATCGGTGTCGGTGGTGCCGATGCTGTTGATGCGCTCGTCGACGCCCCTTGGGAGTTGAAGGCTCCTAAGATTCTCGGTGTTCGCCTCGAGGGTAAGCTCAGCGGATGGGCTTCGCCTAAGGATATCATCCTGTCCCTAGCTGGTAAGCTGACTGTCCGCGGTGGCACTGGCTCTATCCTTGAGTATCACGGCCCTGGTGTCGAGACTCTGAGCTGCACGGGTATGGCTACCTGCTGTAACATGGGTGCTGAGGTGGGTGCTACCACCTCCATCTTCCCTTTCTCGCCTAGCATGGTTCCCTACCTGCAATCGACCCACCGTGGTCACGTCGCAGAGGCCGCTGCCAAGGTTGCCGCCGCCGGCCCCTCGAGCCTGCTGCGCGCCGACACCAAGGCCGAGTATGACCAGGTGATCACCATCAACCTGTCCGAGCTCGAGCCCCACATCAACGGACCCTTCACCCCCGACTTCTCAGTGCCGCTGTCCAGGTTCGCCGACACCGTCCGCGAGAAGAAGTGGCCCGAGACCTTCGGTGCTGGCCTCATCGGTAGCTGCACCAACTCCTCGTACGAAGACATGACCCGCGCCGAGGATCTCGTCAAGCAAGCCACCGCCGCCGGACTCAAGCCCAAAGCCGATTTCTTCATCACCCCCGGCAGTGAACAGATCCGCGCCACTCTCGACCGCGACCAAACGCTAAACACCTTCTCCGAAGCCGGCGGCATCGTCCTCGCCAACGCCTGCGGCCCCTGCATCGGCCAATGGAACCGCACAGACGGCGTCCCCAAGGGCGAAGACAACGCCATCTTCACCTCCTACAACCGCAACTTCCCCGGCCGCAACGACGGCAACCGTCGAACAATGAACTTCCTCGCTTCACCGGAGCTCGTCACCGCGCTCGCCTACTCCGGCAGCACAACTTTCAACCCCATGACCGACTCCCTGACCGCACCAGACGGCTCAGAATTCAAGTTCCAGCCCCCCAGCGGCTTTGACCTCCCCAGCGCCGGCTTCGAAGAAGGTAACCCCAACTTCCTCCCCACAGCCGCCGTCCCAGACGCAAGCAGCGAAGTCATCGTCTCACCGACCTCCGACCGTCTCGCTCTCCTCGAGCCCTTCGCTCCCTTCCCCGAAGGCGATCTCTCAGGTCTCCAGGTCCTGTACAAGGTCAAGGGCCAGTGCACAACTGATACTATCTCGGCCGCAGGCCCATGGTTGAAGTACAAGGGTCACCTGCCCAACATCTCCGCGAACACTCTGATCGGCGCCGTCAACGCCGCTACTGGCGAGACCAACGTCGCTTACGACGAAGCCGGCAAGCAGTACGGGATTCCGGAGCTTGCAGAGACATGGAAGGAGCGCGGAATCTCATGGCTCGTTGTTGCAGAGGATAACTACGGCGAGGGTTCTGCGCGCGAGCACGCTGCTCTGCAGCCCCGCTACCTCGGCGGCCGGGTTATCGTTTCTAAGTCCTTTGCCCGTATCCACGAGACCAACCTTAAGAAGCAGGGTGTTGTCCCTCTTACATTTACCAACCGTGAGGACTATGATCTTATTGATGCTTGTGACAAGGTTGATACTGTTGGTCTTTACGATGTGCTTAAGTCTGGTGGTCAGGGTGAGATCCAGCTGCGTGTTACTAAGCAGAAGACTGGGGAGGTGTTTACTGTTCCTGTTCAGCACACTTTCAGCAAGGACCAGTGTGCATTCATCCTTGCTGGTAGTGCTTTGAACTTGTTGGCTAAGAAGGCTCACGCTTGAAGAGGTGAGTAGGAGGTGGATTTCAGACTGTTTTGACACCATAAAAATGGGTTGGGTTTGATCTGGAGTTGATGATTTGGATTGCATTATATCAGTCCCTCACCTTGTATATGGTGAATTTTGGTTTTAGATTTGTTTTGCCGACTAGATGATATCCAATGTGATCTGTATTCTACTGTTTCTTGATTCGGAGAGTAGGTAGTGTAAGATGAAGTTGGTATAGTAAATAAGTACTAGGCTGGGAGGGCCGAGTCATTTGATTGAGCGCAATCCATTCATTGTTTGTGTCATGGTATATAGTTTCGAAGCTGTGACATCAAAACGAGACAGAATTCATCATAGAGAAAGAAAAGAAAAGCAGATGGGCATGAAATGAGCATGGGAATATCATAAAAAAGCATCATGATGCCTGGTTCTTTCATAAGTAATAAGATGGGCAGAACAGTGACCACCTCGAAGGGAAGGTCGACAGACCAAGAGAATGAGAATGAGAAATCAAACACGACATGAACACCGATATCTAGAAAGACCAAAAAAGAAAAAAGAAAACACCAAGACAATCATATGTCCTGATTGCCAAGCTTCGGAAATCCTCAGACATTCCCGAGAGCCTATATCTGAACGCCAACAAGCCTTTCTATACAGGCAGAATGGATTTATGCAGATGGAATGCATCATGCAATATCCTTTTTGAAACCCGAAACAGGGGGAAAGAGAAGTGAAAAAAGAAAGAAAGAGGTAGGGAACAAAGCAGAACATACCAGTGTCATCCAGTCCACTTCTGATCAGAGTACCCAGGGTCCCCGGGATTAACCCCCAACATCTGACCAGAGTTATTGACACCGTACATACCTCCCTGGTTACTAGCATAACCACCACCCATACCCGAATCATCCTCGTCAAAGCCATACTCCCCACCAGAGCTAGCGTCAAAGCTACTCCGCCCACCAATCTCACCCGGATCATCACCCACAGCCGAGATCTGGTCCCACTGCAAGTTCTGCAGAGCCGGGTATTGCGCGAGCAAAGCAGCAGGAAGTACGAAGTTGCCCGTCGAGTGCCCGTCCATACCAGGTATGTTCGGCATAACGAGCGGCTGGGGGATTGGCTGAAGATGGCTGGATGGCGATTGTTGTTGCTGCTGTTGGTGCTCTAGCAAGACACGGTCACGCTCTTGCGACTCCTCATCAAGAAGAGGCTTGATGCATACCCGCCCCGCCTCGGAGCGGAAGTGGCGGCCCAGAGCGTCTGCACGGGCGAAGCGGCGACCGCAGCCCCATTGTCCGCTTCGTGAGAGCTCGCCACGACAGACGAATTTTTTCTCGCCGGAATGGAGGCCTTCGTGGCGTTTACGGTCGTGCTGTCGGGCAAATGCTTTGCCGCACACTGTGCACACGAATGGTCGTTCGTCGGTGTGGGTACGGAGGTGGGATCGCAGATTGTATGCGCGGGTAAACCGTTTCGGACATAGGTTGCACTGGAAGGTAGCTGGGTGTTTTTGGATGCGTTTTGGCTCCCCCGGTGCTGCCCCGGGTCTTTGTGGATCGGCGAGATCGAGGATGTAATTCCGGTTCTCGATTGATGAGGTGGAGAGGCGTCGGTTTGATCGTGATGGTGAGGCATCTCGTGAGCCGGGATTACTGCGCGAGTGAGAGCCAATCGATCCAACAGGAGACAAGGACCGCGCGGCGGCAGGCGCGTGGGGTTCCAGACAGGTTGCTACTGAAGCTGCAGGAGAGCGTGGGCGGGAAGCAGGGTGATAAGGATCAGATTTGCTACGAACACGGGATCCTAAGTTCTGGTTAGTATCGTATCAAACCGGTTGCCGGTTGAAAACCTGCACTTACGCATAGCGGGAGGACTCAATGAATCAAAATCTGCCGTTGACTTGGATGGATCGAAGTTTGGATTGCGCAATGGCGGAGCAAACTCGACATTGATGGATGGAGGAGCCATTTGTGAAGCTTGACCAATGTCGCCCGGGATATTGTTCAATTGGCCCATGTTCATCATCTCCTCTTGGGGCATTCCGTACGTGTCTGTCGGGGCCGAGGGGAACTGAGAGAGATACGAATTATTCGGCACCATCTCACCTCCCTGCTGTGGCATTAACCGCGGGGAGATATATGGGCTGTGGAGGGGACTGATCCCCTGCTGATGCTGCTCTGACAATGTGAATGATTCCATGCCTAAGCCGTTGTCATAAAGACTTGGATCACTTTGGGGAGCCAAAGAAGGCGACGCATTGTTCTCGATGCCATCGAATTCGTGTTGAGACAAGTAGGGGGAGTGGTTGGCCGATGATACCTCGGACACCTCAGACGGTGCACGTCGATGTCCTTGGAAAGAAACATTATTCATAACCGACTGCCAGTCTGGACCTGACTGGGCGGTCAAATACGCCGCAGTAGCCGGGTCAAGCGAAGTGTGTCGTGAATGCTGAGGGGTGTAGTATGTACCCGGTGTGGATCCTGGAGGGGACATGGGGCCAGGCGAGGAATGCTGCTGATCTTGCGATGACGGATGCGAAGATGCTGAAGGGTTGGAGATGGGGCTGACCAGATCGGCAGGGTTGATCGCTTGATTGATCGACTGGCGCTGGTGCATTTGCGGGTCCAGTAACAACGAAGAATCGTACTCGGGGGTGGAAACGCTGTTGGGGCTGTGATTCTGGTAGAGAGAAAAGTCCAGTTCTGGGTGATTGGAGTTGAGCATATTGGAGAAGTTTTCGTCGCCCTGCATCTGTCTGAGTCCCGTTGAAGAGTGCTCGAGCTGACTGACCAGGCTTGTCTCGAAGGACTGCGATATCGGAAGGTTGTTGGTATTGATGGTTGGAAGATAGCTCTGATCCGTCGGCGATAATGTCTGTGTCGAGGGCGCACCAGCAAGGTAGCTTGGGTATCCATACTCAGCACCACCGATGCTGCCATCGGGATTGTGAAACGAGGGGTTTGTCGAATAAGCAGCCATGGAGGGGTCAACTCCTAATCCGCCAGAGTTGGGGTCGTGATAGTGTTGGCCGTGCGGCGAAGGGCTCACACTCCGATGCTTCATATCCCCCGGGCCATAGGCCGTTCCGTGGTTCTGGTCATGCGAGGCCATAATTTGCGAATGCGCGCGGGTGGGGGCTCTTGGACGGGCGCCAAGCCGGGGCTGTGATCAGGGACGAGGGATGTAGTAGGGATCGGGTGTAGCGCAGAGATTCGGCGACACGAGCAGATTAGATGTGCAAAGCTGTTAGGGTCGTGGACGCCTAGTGATATAGGGAGAATGGTGTCTGATGATGTGGTGGGATGTCATTCGCAAGGGTCCAGGATTGGGTCCGGTATGTAAATGAGCTTCTGAACCGGTTGTCAGTGGTCGCCAGACTGCTGTATCATCTCTGAAAGCAATTCTACCTTGAGTTTGACCAAATGTCTGCAATGAGAGAGAGTAAGTGAGGAGGGAGTTGAAGATTAGACGGTTTCACGTGCGCAAGGCGGTCTAGGTCAAACACGTCTATACCCGTGTCGAGATGTAGGGATTATTATTTTAATATATAATATTTCCCATATATTCCCATCCGCTGTGGGTGCCCTAAGCGCAAATAGAGAAAGAGTTCCCACCTTCTTTACAAGTTCCTTCGAACCCCAAATGGGTCTCTCCCCACATTGGCATTATCGGTGTCCACCCTGATAACAGATAGGCGAATATGAACTATTTTTATATACATATTCTTAGGGATTTAATTGAAAAAAAAAAAGCGTTGCCTGTTGAATATACACTTAGGCCGTGAAGCACTTCATTCTCGAACTCCTCAAAAGTGGAGTTGAACGCTAAAGAGGACTTGGCTTAGCTTTTGCACAGCCACCCAGCTGAGGCCCATGGGAGCTAGTCCTATTTGGGTACATAAGCTATTGGACAAGGCACACTTCAACAGTCTGCCTTGTCTATACTTCTACTTTGCTTGCTGCCTAACTTCATATATACCTGATCAGGTGACCAGGCTGAGCCCTGTACACTTCATCACTTTGAGATATCGACTCTCAAAGACCACCCAATGTATCCAAACTAGCCCTAGCCTGATCATTCGACCAAGCAAAAAGCAAGTTATCATCACAACTACTCCCAAGTCCCGCATTATCAACCCAAGCAGGTTCCCAGTAATAAACACCCAATCCACCCACATCCTCCACAGCCTCAGCAAGTCTCTTCAGGAAACTCTGCTGTCCAGCAACCGAAAACGGAATATCCTTCAGATCCGACGGGAACGCATACTCAGGATTAGGACAAGCAAACGGCCAGTTCGTCTCAACAACCAGCGTCTCCTTCCCATACGTAGAGTGCAGGTTCGCAAGACTGGTCTTCAGCGCAGCGATCGTCGCACCCGCGTCGTAGAAGGGGTAGAAAGAGACGCCGATGTAGTCGAAATCCGTGGAGAGGAGTGGGGACCCAGATGCCAAAACTTCATTGTAGAAGTACGACTGAGCAGACCAGTCCCAGCCGTTGTCGAGGTGGATCATGATCTTGGGAGTGGTTGCCAGCTTGGAGTCTTTCACACCCCACGCGGCGGAGTGCAGGATCCGTGCAATGTTGTAGTAGCTGCTTGTTCCGCCTAGTGGCCAGAGTAGGCCGTTGCGGATTTCGTTGCCGATGGAGACGATATCTACATCGAGGTTGTTGGCTGCAAACGTGTTGCATACGTTCAGTGTGTAGTCGTATACTTGTCCGGCCAGGACTTCGATATCTGTTGTGGACCAGCCTGAGGGTGCGGTCTGAAGAAGTAGGTCAGTCATCAGATCAAGCAGTCAGTCTCGTGGGAATGTATTATTTTCTAACCTGTGTTTTCGGATCTGCCCAGCTATCACTATAATGCAAGTCGAGATATGTGCCCATGCCCTGCGCCTGTACTCTCTTCGCGAGCTCAACGTTATAGTCCAGATCGTACGATCCACCACTAGGATTCACCCAGATACGCTGGCGAACGGAGTTGACACCGCTGGCCGAGAGAATGGCCTCTA